TGTTTCCTAAAGCATTGACACATTCACGCATATTAAATTCCTAACAAATTTTCACCATGGCTAATTCATTTCAATGTATAACAAAAACTACTGTAATGATGTAAAGTAATTAGCCTCCAACTAATAAAAAAAAGAAAAAAAACAAATAAATAAAATAAATTGCTAACAAATTTTCAGCACAATCTATTACACATTAAATTAACCTAGCCTCAAATCCTACCTTTAATAGTGACTCACACAATTTCATTACCTCCCCTAACAATCTTTATCACTGAGGAAGAGATTTCTGTCCTATCCATTGTGAGCACCAAGTGTTCTTAACTAGGGAATAATGTACCCAAAGACTTCAGGGAAGAGGAGAAAGTCAAGTACATAATCTTAGATACTAAATTAAAATCCCTGCTTTTAAAGAGAAGGGAAAAACTTACCACTCTCTTCCTTCACTCTGTCCTATACAATAGTAATGTAATATCCCTTACAGCTACCAGCAGAGAAACATTTTATCATGTTAGCTCTTGCCTTCAGAGAAGGCAATGGCACCCCACTCCAGTACTCTTGCCTGGAAAATCCCATGGACGGAGGAGCCTGGTGGGCTGCAATCCATGGGGTCGCTAAGAGTAGGACAGGACTCAGAGTCTTCACTTTCACTTTTCACTTTCATGCATTGGAGAAGGAAATGGCAACCCACTCCAGTGTTCTTGCCTGGAGAATCCCAGGGATGGGGGGAGTCACGTGGGCTGCCGTCTATGGGGTTGCACAGAGTCGGACACGACTGAAGTGACTTAGCAGCAGCAGCAGCAGCTCTTGCCTTAGCCAAAGAAACTCCAAAAAAAAAAAAAACTAAACTAAAACTCAACAAAAATAAAGAGGGGGACTTGCACAATACTGTGAATGTACTAAATGCCACCAAACAGTTCACTTAAAAATGGTTAATTTAAAAAAAAATGGTTAATTTTATGTGAATTTCACCTCAAAAGATGCATATACATATATTTTTAAATGAGACACTCAATCACATGCCAGAGATGAACACAGATTCTCTAAAACATAGGATGGTGAAAACTGCTGACTGTTTTAGAACCCACCCCCCGCCCCCTCCAAAAAGGCAGCTAAGATAAAGATAGAGCTCAAAGAATAAAGCAAGTATTTGCTGAAAAGTCTCAAAAATCTAGCTTGGATGGGAGCGGAGTTTGGGGGAGAATGGATACATGTATGTGTATGGCTGAGTGGCTCTGCTGACTGAAACTAATATTGTTAAGTGGCTATACTCTAATTTAAAAAAAAAAAATCAAGTTCTTCTGGGGAGTGGGAGAGAAGTTATTCCTCAGGAGAGATCCAGGGCAAAGCAAAGCCAACATGGAATTAATTGGAACTCACACTACCTTTTTACCAGATCAAACAAGACAAGTCATCCATGTGCTGCTCTATGGGCTTGAGGTATGGCCTCAGGACATTGTTTTAAAAAATAAATAAGGCTGACAGAGTCAAAAGCACAATTTCTCTAACTTTCCTAGCCCAGAGTGTGATGTCACTGCATTTCAGAAAAGGCCTCTCTGGACAGGATTACACATCTAGATTTAACATAACCTAGTTTCTGCTAAATACAGGCTGTGACAGTTTTCCCTTCTCAACTATTCCTCCTTCCTTCTGGTGCCCCTAAAGAGAATAAGGCCAGAAAGAAATTAATAGGGGTCTTAATTTCAAACGGCTGTCTGGAAAATAGCAGCTAATTTAGAGTTGGTGAGGCCACTAAATCCACTCTCTTCACGTAAAGTTGGACTTTACACAGCTGGTGCCCGTAGGGAAAAAGGGAACAGAATTAACCAAATTATAAAGTGGACAGGTCATTCTAGTAATCTTTCACTACAAGCACAAGGATAAGAAGTGCTAACTAGATATTTCAATAACGCATCTTCATGTATCATTTACTGCATACGAAATTACAACAGATAACTCATTACAACAGACACACCTATCATTTCCATTTAAAAATGACTACAAAGTACTCTAATATCATACAATAAGAAAAAACGTCAAAAGTTTTACATCCAATTCTTAATTGAAATAAACTATGGAAAACTTACGCCTGGAAGGAGAGAAAGAAGGAAGAAAGGAAAATGTGTCCTACCTAATTTGTTCCTTGTTTAGCTTGATTCAGAACTGGGCCTAAAATATAATATTTTAAAATACAGGTAGAAAGCTGAGCGCCGAAGAATTGATGCTTTTGAACTGTGCTGTTGGAGAAGACTCTTGACAGTCCCTTGGACTGCAGGGAGATCCAACCAGTCCATCCTAAAGGAAATCAGTCCTGAATATTCATTGGAAGGACTGATGTTGAAGCTGAAACTCCAGTACTTTGGCCACCTGATGCGAAGAGCTGACTCATTTGAAAAGACCTGATGCTGGGAAAGATTGAGGGCAGGAGGAGAAGGGGACAACAGAGGAAGAGATGGTTGGATGGCATCACCGATTCAATGGACATGAGTTTGAGTATACTCTGGGAGTTGGTGATGGACAGGGAGGCCTGGTGTGCTACAGTTCATGGGGTGGCAAAGAGTCACACACGACTGAGCGACTGAACTGACCGACTGAAAATACAGGTGTGTTTAAAGAAGGAAAAAAAAAGATGGAAGAATCGGGGGTTTTTGAGTCTCTTAAGTCACAGAATGTTGTTGTTTAGTGATTAAGTTGCATCCTACTGTTTTGCCACTCCATGGACTGTAGGCCGCCAGGCTCCTCTGTCCATGGGATTTCCCAGGAAGGAATACTGGCGTGGACTACCATTTCCTTCTGCAGGGCATCTTCCCAAGCCAGGGATCAAACCCACACCTACTGCATTGGCAGATGGATTCCTTACCAATGAGCCACCAGGGAAGCCCTCACAGAATGTTAGCTTTTTTTTTTTTAATTTTACCACCCAACTTTCAGTGAAGCTATCTGCAGAACACACTCTACCTTCTGCTTCTTTGGGAGTTTAAACTGTCAAATACCTGTAAACAGTTCTCACCTTCCCACCAGGCTTAGTCACCACTGGCAATGTGTTACACGTTTTCTTGTACAGCCTCATCTTCATCTGCTGCTTTCTATTATTACTTTGTAAGTGTACCCTGAGGCTAAGTAACAGAATTATACCAGGAAGGTGATTAATAATTTAAATTGTTCCTCACTGAGACCACTTTCTTGGTCATTCTGTCTTTTCTAAACTTACCTCGTTTTTTTTTTTTTTTTACTTTCTCTTTTAAACCACAATGACTGTTAACAGTGTTTCGCATTTTTAAAACCTTTAAAAGTCAAAAGTTTAATGAAGCAGCCACACTTTATTCACACCGCTTCATAATGGAGTTAAAAAAAAAAAATCTGCCCCCAAATACAAGAGTGCTGTAAAAACTAACAGCATGGATAAATTCTTTGGATTAAAAAAAATATGGAATTAACAGGAAGTTCCAGTTTCTTTACCTCTGTCTTAATCTACAGCCTTTCTCAATCCAGACCGTTCCTTCTAAGACCCCGAAGAAAAAATTCCGGGCTAAGATTTACTCCCACGAACTTCCCCCTCTCTCATATCGGGTCAATTCTCTGGGTTTTCTTCCCTTTCTCCGGTGTCAGGAATTCCTCTTCTTTCCCGAGATGGTTAAAATTCCACGGCTATGTTCCTCCATTACAAAGCGGAGGAGAGGCGTCTCTTAACCGCAAATGACGGACGACGGCGAGGTTTGCCCATCTAGGAGCAAAGCTCTGGGGAACTCCTTTTCCCTTTCCTCAGCTGAGCATATCCTAGCCTCTCAGAGAACGACGCCAAAACGGGAAAAAGCGAGGTTCTCTTCCCGGCCTCCGGTCTCCGCCAGCCACACCCCTGGCCTCTGACCGTCCTAACCCCCCGACTTCGAACATATCTTTTCCCCAGTGTCCCCCAGTTCCCAATTGCCACCCCGAGGATTCCCTCGCCCCGCCCCAGCGGTGGAGTCCTTTTCTCCAACCCTCTTCCTCACAACGGTCACACCCGACGGCTCATTCCACCTTCAACGGTCACGGTCCTCGGATTTTCTCTCCTCCGTCTGTCTCCAACCAAGTCTGGGGATCCCCCATCCCCATCAAAAAGGGACACACCCCAAAGTTAGCCGCCTACAACTCACCGTAGGCAAGGGCGGGGGTGGCAGCAGCGGCCAGAGAGCACGGCCCGGGCGATGTTGTAATGGTTTCCTGCACGTCACGACTCCTTCTCCAGGTCTAAGCCACTGCGCAAAACCCACTTTGCCAGGGACAAAGATGGTGGACAGGAAACTCTTACGTCAGAGAGCCTCGACGTGTGACGTCATCCAGACGCGCGAGAGAACGAGAAAGGAGGGACTCTGTCGCCTTGGAGACGGAAAAATTTTGCGCGGTGGGGAAGAATTCTGAGATCTGGGCTTCCGAGGAAGTTCATCCGAAAGAATCTAGTAAACAAGCTGACATTCTCTGGATTTGTTTCCCCACACAAGACCTCTCTAAAAACTTAAACAGAGTCAGTGAAATGCCTGTTGTTTTCTTTAAAAACAAACAACAAAACACAGATAATTGCTTGGGCAGTTAAAATACACGGACAGTGGTGATCCAGCCCAGGATTATACAAGGGCAGTGGGACTGGAGGAGACTGGTGCAAGGAAAAGAGGTTAACACGGCCTCAAATCTATGTGTGAATCCATCTGAGTCCGAATCCCTGCCCTGAAGGTGACTAGGAAAGTTACTTGTCTCTTCAACTTTAGTCTTCTTACTTGTGAAGTAAAGACGATGATAATAAGTCTTCCCAGTTTATGAATCTTAAACCGGATTAGGTAGGTAAGAAGCCTAGCATGTAATAGGTATGCTTTGTTAATTGTTTTAGTTGCTAAGTCACAGACGACTCTTGTGACCTCATGGACTGTAGCCCACCAGGCTCCTTCATCCATGTGATTTCCTAGGCAAAAATACTGGGGTGGGTTGCCATTTCTTTCTCCAAGGGATCATTCCCCACCCAGGGATTGAACCCGTGTCTACTACATTGGCAGGTGAGTTCCTTACCAATGAACCACCAAGGAAGCCTTGTAGTTTGCTTACACAAAAGAAGTCCCTTTCAGAAACCAAAACCTAGAAATCTCTGTATCTTCCCCTCAAAACTAAAACTGCTCTAAGTAAAAAAAAATAATAAAGTCATTAATCAAGAAAGAAGAAGAATGTGAAGAGAGCCTAAGGCAGAAGCTGGGAAACCAAAATGCAAAGGGGACTGAGAAGCAGTCAGAGAGGCAGAAGGAAAAGAAGGCAGTCCTAATGATTTAAGATGTTTTTAGAGGTCTATGAAAGTACAGGAACTGAATATCAATACTGTACTATATCTCTGAGGCCTAGCCCCGCCTCCCCCGAATTTGAATGACTAAATGTATGAGTGAGTGGTCAATAATAACAGTTGCTATAGAGAAAAGAAGGGGCCAAAAAGTGTCCAAGAACTTAGCAACACAAAGGTCTTTATGTCATTGCCGAGACCATCCATAGAGACATTCAAGGCAAGAGTCATGCTGCAGAAGTTGGAAGATAAATGGGAGGAAAGGAATGAAAACAGGTAACTCCCCAAAAAATTATGACTGAAAAGAAAAGAGATATAAGATGGTGTTTGAGGGAGAGAGTAGCAAGGATTTATGTTCTATACTCATACATTTTCTTTACACTATCCCTTTAGCAATATCATGGGTTCAACTATTTTTCCTAATCATATGACTCCTAAAACCTATCTCTAGCCCTGACCTATTCCCCAAACTTCACCACCAAATTGCTAATAGCACTTTTGGGTAATTCTATATATATGCCAAGTCATAAGAGTAGGGGGTAGGGTGGGGAGTTAAAAAAAACCAAAACTTGGTTTCAGGTACAATTCACAGAAAACAGAGTTGCCACCAGAAAAATCTTTGATTCCTACCTCTTCCCCCGTTCAAAAACTTCCAACAGTTTCTCATTTTCCTAATTTGTATAGAACCTGTCCTTCTCCAGTAGTCATGTATGGATGTGACACTTGAACTATAAAGAAAGCTGAGCACCGAAGAATAGTTGCTTTTGAATTGTGTTGGAGAAGACTCTTGAGGGTCCCTGGCCTGCAAGGTCCAACCAGTCCATCCTAAAGGAAATCAGTCCTGAACATTCATTGGAAGGACTGATGCTGAAGCTGAAACTCCAATACTTTGGCCACCTGACGCAAAGAACTGACTCCTTGGAAAAGACCTTGATGCTGGGAAAGATTGAAGGAGGAGAGGAAGGGGACAGAGGATGAGATGGTTGGATGGCATCACTGACTCAATGGACATGAGTTTGAGCAAGCTCCGGGAGTTGGTGATGGACAGAGAAGCCTGGAGTGCTGCAGTCCAGGGAGTCACAAATAGTTGGACATAACCAAGAGACTGAACTGAACAGAACTGTCCCTTCTCCCAGTTTTCCCCATTTCTTTGTTCTTTAGTTTTCTCATCTATACAATGGAAGAAATAGTAATATCTGACCATAATATTATTATAAGGATGAAATGAACTAGGCTACCTAAGTCACTTAACTATGCCTGCGCATAGCATATATATATGAGGAATATGAGGCGATATATGGCCGTGTTGTTGACTAGGACTTTTTCTGAGTAGTTTGTGTTGTGCCTGAGCTCAGTTGTTTTAGTCGTCTCTGACTCTTTTCAACCCCATGGACTGTACCCCCCAGACTCCTCTGTCCTTGGGCTTCTCCAGGCAAGAATACTGGAGTGGGTTGCCATGCCCTTCTCCAGATCTTCCCAACTCAGGGATCAAACTGGGGTCTCCTGCATTGCAGGCAGATTCTTTACCCACTGAGCTACCTGGGAAGCCTTTGGAGTGTAATTATTTGCTAAGATTGCAAGTATCTCAATGAATTACACTGACAGAAATTACTAGCCCGAAACTTGGGGGTCATTCTTGATTTCTCTCTTTCCCTTAACTGCCACCTTCATCCCATCTCGAAGTTGTCAATTCTGCCTTCAAAAACTATCTCAACTTTGTCCAGTTCCCTCTGTTCACCTCATTAGTCCAATTCACCATGACCTCTTGCCTGAACTACTGGAAAACTCAACTCTCCTCCAACCATTTTCCATACGGCAGCCAAATATTTAACTTTTTTTGAAGTATAACAAACATTTCAAAAAGAGCATACATCATAAATGTAAGGCTTGACAAACACACACAAAGTAAAGCTAACTACATAACCATTACAGGGTCATCTTAAAAATATAAACCTGGTCATGACTCTTCAAAAGCTTCCCCTTACACTTTGACTAAAATCCAGTCTCCTTCTCATGACTTGTGAGTGGTTTGGTTCCTGTCTATCTCTCTAACATCATTTTATTTTTTTCGTCACTCAGTTCCTCTTCATTTCACTTCTTGCTACATTTCGCAGCCTTCAAATACTCCAAGCCGTTTCCCATCCTAGGGGCTTTATAACTACCACTCCTCCTACCTATTATTCATCTTCCTTAACCCTATACGCCCACTCCAGTGTTCTTGCCTGGAGAACCCCAGGGATGGTGGAGCCTGGTGGGCTGCCGTCTATGGGGTCACACAGAGTTGGACACGACTGAAGCGACTTAGCAGCAGCAGCAGCAGCAACCCTGTACAGGGTTGAGTTATGACTGGCTTATAACTTAGGTCTTATTTTAACTGTAATCTCATAAAAGCACTCCCTGATTACCTTATCTAAAAGGTTCTTCCCTCCCAGCCCCCACTGCCATCCCCTTCCTAGCCCTCTTATTCCATTTTGTAGTGAGTAAGTGAAGTCAGTCAGTCGTGTCCGACTGTTTGTGATCCCATGGCCATAGCCCGCCAGGCTCCTCTGTCCATGGAATTTTCCAGGCAAGAATACTGGAGTGGGTTGCTGTTTCCTTCTCCAGGGGCTTCCTGACCCAGGGATCGAAACCGGGTCACCCGCACTGCGGGCAGATTCACCATGACTATGACTTTTCCCAAATGTACTCAACCTTTTGAGGTCCACCTAATTTCTCAGCGGACTTCTGGTCCTGACATGAGATACAAGGAGATGCCAGGTTACATCACTCTAGCAGAAAGCAACTGGCAGAGAGAAGCTGAGATAAAACGTGAGGCTAGAAACAATCTTCCCTTTGGTTACAAAGGTCAATACAGGGCTTCTGTTGGAGCTAGTTTGAACAGCCTTTTCTCCCAGCTGTTATCACCATATGAGTCTCACCATATTAACCTATCCGGTGGCTCTTAATACTTTTTAACATAAGCACAATCAATTTTTGTGTGTCCTGTCTCATTATACTGTAAACCTGAGTGGGGTTTGTGATGAGCTGTTTATTATTTATTGGCTGTATTAACTGACATTGTTATTTCTGACTGCCTTTCTTTTTTTCTCATGTAGTAATGTCAGTTTACTTTTGAAATATTCTCAAAGAACTATTAATTGACTAAGAGTGAAACAGGGAGTGGAGAGGTAATCTTAACCTAAGGTCAATCAATAGGAATCTGAATCATGAGTACAATGACAGAAATGTGTTGAAGCTCCTTTACTGCAACATCAATGCCTGGGTGAGACTTTGCTAATTCTTGCTAGAAACATCCAGTAGAACTGTTTAATTCCTGTTTTGTTAGCTACTCTACATTCTAATATATATATATATACATATATATATATGTTTAAATTAGCCTGTTTTCTGTTTCTTGTAACCAAAGACCCCTAACTGATACAAATGTTTAACTTTCCACTTGATTTAGTTGATTTTATTTCTCAACTTTGTCCTTTTGCTGTTCACTTAAGAAAAGCCTGCCTGTAATAGCTACCCTTGATCAAGCACCTAAAACCAGGTACCCAATATAGATACATTATCTCTGTTCCTTAAAATTCTGTAAGGTAAAATCTTTCAACAATGTGACTTTCTCCAACAGGTATCCTAGCAGAGTGTGAAACTTTTTTTTTCTTGGCCCCATGGCATGGGAGATCTTCCCCCAACCTGGGACGGAAACCGTGCCCTGTGCAGTGGAAGCACGGAGTGCTAACCAGTGGACCACCAGGGAATTCCCTAAAACACTTTTTGGAACTATAAAGTTAACTTGCAAAATTTTACTTTTCCTGTTGAAACAACTAAAAGAAAACCTTGTTTTCGAGCGTTCTCATTATGTTAACCAATTAACTACCTTTGTACCATAAGATCCTCTAGGGCAAATAATAATACCTTCTATTTCTAGCTATTTCTATTTACAGCTTTCCCCCAGGGACTGGAGGAAGGTTTTGAAGAAGGAGATGAACTTGAGCCATCAATATTATCCAAATTCAGTAAACCTGCAGCAGGAACTCAAAGCAATTGCATACGATGTAAAAGCACTTTGCAAATCGTCACGTTAATTACATTAATTTTGGTATGCGATTAATGGAAAGCACCTTCTCTTAGGTTAGAATTCATCAGCATCCTTCCTTCTTAGCACCGTATTTATATGACCAATGTAACACATCCTACGATGTTCGAGGACACGAACCATTTTCATTTAATGGAGCAAGTGCCTAGAGTTATGACTGAACGGAACCTAATCTAGAAGACAATTAAGCTACAGGGCGGAAGGAAAAAGAATCGTCCCAAGTTATAAGCAACGGCAGGAAACTTTTAATAATTGGTGGCCACAAAGCTAAGGCTTCTATCTCTGCCTAAGTCGCTTTAAATCCTTTCCGAAGGCGGCAGATAATAGTGAACCACGACCCCCGCCGTAAGCAAAGTGAGGCTTCCTTCTCCACATTCCCTTGGGTCCCTCGCCCCTATCTGTATCGCCCCAGGAAACAAACGCCTCAGCTGCGGGCCGAGCTCAGGCTCCAGACGTCGATGCAGTGTCCCCAACACCTTGCCAAAAAGACTCCGCAGAGAGATCAGAAACGTCGCTTTCTAACAAGACAGCGACGCCAACCCGATCGCCTCTAGCACCTCCTTTATTTTCAGCGGGGGCGGAAGCGGAAGTCCCGATGAGGTCATAGAGTTCTCTAGTTCCGGTCTCCAGGGCCTCATTCCGGGCTAGAGCGCCTCTCCTCCGCCGGCCTTCTTCAAGCTCCAGCAGCTTCTATTTCCGGCTGCGGATTCTGTCGTAAAGGGGAGACCTCCTTTCAACCGCGGTGTCGCGGGTCCCTCCCGCCTCGTCTAGGGTCAGCGCGCAAGGACGGTCACGGGTTGGGGGAACTGCTCAGCCCACAGCTGAGCCAGGCCGCGGGGGGCTGGCCGTACTGGTGCACGCCCGATCCCTCAGAGCCTCCTGGCTTTTGAACGCTCCTGAGAGTCCCTGACTGGCAGCCTCCGGGACTGCCGCTCGACAGGCCAGCGCCCAGCACCGAGCTGTCTGTCCCATAGTCAACGTTTTGTCCCGTGAAGCGCAGCATTAGTCAAGTCACCCCTCCTACACACTATTTAACCTCGTCTGTGTTAACTTAGTTCTTCACCTCCCTTCACTCGAACACCCGCCCACCGCCCCCTACCTTGCCTCCGGAAGAGGTCTTTTTTTTTTTTTTGCCCAGTTCCAGTAAAATTGAGGGGCTATCTTTTGAGATAAAAGTTATCGTTGAGACTGAGCACCCATCTGGCGCCCCCCAAAAGTTCATGCTTATTAAAGAGCTTGTGGACAAAGAAAAACCCAGTGCACACACGAAACTATGGCTGAGCACGGGGCTCACATCACGACTGCCTCTGTTGTGGATGACCAGCCATCCATCTTTGAGGTGGTAGCACAGGACAGTTTAATGTCAGCAGTGAGACCTGCTCTTCAGCATGTGGTCAAGGTAAGAATTTAATTCTCTGGAAAGTTTCAGAGACGTCTGGGGTAAAAAAAAAAAAAAAAAAAAACCCAATAATTTGAATTTGTTGGCCTCGGTTTTGAAATAACAATTAGCATATAATTCATATCCTACGATTTAAGTTATGGAGTCTCTCTTCTGTGTAGAGTGTTGTGTGCACTACATACCCAGCCCTTCAGGGAGGTTAAGATGTAGAAAGAAAAGTGTAGAATTTAGAGGGGGAAAAAAGGAAATATAAATAACAAGGCATAGTAGCTGTTGTAATGGAATGAATTTCATTTATTTTGCTGTAGGTTCTTGCAGAATCAAATCCTGCCCACTTTGGCTTCTTTTGGAGGTGGTTTGATGAAATCTTTACCCTGCTAGATCTTCTGCTCCAGCAGCATTATCTGTCGAAAACCAGCGCCTCCTTTTCTGAAAACTTCTATGGCTTAAAGAGGATTGTAATGGGAGACCAACACAGGCTTCAGAGATTGGCCAGTGCTGGCCTCCCAAAGCAGCAGCTTATGAAATCAATCATGTTCCTGGTCCTTCTTCCCTATCTGAAAGTGAAACTGGAGAAGCTGGTTTCTAGCCTGAGAGAAGAAGACGAATATTCCATCCATCCCCCTTCTTCCCGCTGGAAACGATTTTACAGAGCCTTCCTGGCAGCCTACCCATTTGTTAACATGGCCTGGGAAGGCTGGTTTCTGGTACAGCAGCTTCGATACATCCTAGGAAAGGTTCAACATCACTCACCACTGCTGAGGCTGGCTGGAGTTCGGCTAGGTCGGCTTACAGTTCAGGATATACAAGCTCTGGAGCACAAATCAGCTAAGGCCAGCATGATGCAGCTACCAGCTGGGAGGTAAGACCTTAACATTTCCCCAGAGTCTTTGATTAATAAATCCTAAAATCTGATCCCAATTTTATAATTCACCTCCTTCAGTCCACTCTGAGGTTATTCCATAAAATCATTGAAAAATTCATGTGTCCATTAAACAAGGACTGCTCTCCTGGTAACTTTCCTCCTCATACTGCCTACATTTTTGTGCACCCTTGCTATGTACCAGGCCCTGTGCTGGTACACAGATGTTTATGTATATCACCTGAATCCTTATCACAACTCAATGAAATAATGCAGAAGCACCATTTAACAGTTGAAGAAACTAAGTTCTAGTAGTTAAGTATCTTACAAGGCCACACAGCTAGAAGGTGGCAGAGCTGAGATTCCAGCCAGATCAATACAATTCTAAAGACTGCTCTTACCATGGTGCTCTCCCACTTCTATTTGGTGCTGGTGGTAAAGAATCTGCCTGCCAGTGCAGGAGATACCAGAGATTAGGGTTCAATCCCTAGGTCAGGAAGATCCTCTGGAGTAGGAAACAGCAACCCACTCCAGTATTCTTGCCTGGAAAGTCCCATGGACAGAGGAGACTGGTGGGCTACAGTCCATGGGATCGCCAAGAGTTGGACACGACTGAACATGCACATACATCCCATTTTAGTTAGTGTTTGTGTTCTCCTACAAGTTCAAATATATTCCTCAATACTGCTGGGTTGTTTTTTTTTTTACTGGATATTACTATCCTTCACCCCCTGCCTGGGAAGGTCTATATAATCAGTATACAAGTTGATTATACAGTCTATATAATCTCACCAATTTCTTTCTCAAAACACAAGCTCTAGTCGATAAAAACAAATCTTAGCTCCTATACTCCTAAAATATTATAAGTCAGAAAGAGGGAATGGTATAGTAGGGACCATTAAGGACACAATTTTCAATCCCCAAGCTGAATCAATGATTCCAATGAAAAATGCAAGAACTACATTTCTATTAGTCATCCTGTGATTATAACTAAACAAACAGTTTCTCTTTGCCTCCTTATTCTATTCTCCAAACAGCATTGGTGAGAAGATAAAGTCAGCTCTGAAGAAAGCCGTGGGGGGTGTTGCCTTATCCCTCTCTACTGGCCTTTCGGTGGGTGTATTCTTCCTGCAGTTCCTTGAGTGGTGGTATTCATCGGAAAACCAAGAAACCATCAAGACCCTGACTGCTCTGCCTACCCCCCCACCACCTGTACACCTAGACTACAATTCTGATTCTCCCCTGTTACCCAAAATGAAGACTGTGTGCCCACTGTGTCGTAAAAACCGGGTGAACGACACGGTTCTCGCCACCTCTGGCTATGTGTTTTGTTACCGCTGTGTGTTTAATTACGTGAGGAGTCACCAGGCTTGTCCTATCACAGGTTATCCAACAGAGATACAGCATCTGATCAAACTGTACTCCCCTGAGAATTGAGAGGGATTAGCACCTTATCTCACAACAAAATGATTGCACTGTAAGGCCACAGGGCTTGATACTTCTCATTCCCAATTAGGAGAAGGCAATGGCAGCCCACTCCAGTACTCTTGCCTGGAAAATCCCATGGACGGAAGAGCCTGGTAGGCTGCAGTCCATGGGGTCGCTAAGAGTCAGACACGACTGAGCAACTTCACTTTCATGCAGTGGAGAAAGAACTGGCAACCCACTCCAGTGTTCTTGCCTGGAGAATCCTAGGGATGGGGGAGCCTGGTGGACTGCCGTCTATGGGGTCGCACAGAGTCAGACACGACTGAAGCGACTTAGCAGCATTCTTACCATGGTGCTCTCCCACTTCTATTTGGTGCTGGTGGTAAAGAATCTGCCTGCCAGTGCAGGAGATACCAGAGATTAGGGTTCAATCCCTAGGTCAGGAAGATCCTCTGGAGTAGGAAACAGCAACCCACTCCAGTATTCTTGCCTGGAAAGTCCCATGGACAGAGGAGACTGGTGGGCTACAGTCCATGGGATCGCCAAGAGTTGGACACGACTGAACATGCACATACATCCCATTTTAGTTAGTGTTTGTGTTCTCCTACAAGTTCAAATATATTCCTCAATACTGCTGGGTTGTTTTTTTTTTTTACTGGATATTACTATCCTTCACCCCCTGCCTGGGAAGGTCTATATAATCAGTATACAAGTTGATTATACAGTCTATATAATCTCACCAATTTCTTTCTCAAAACACAAGCTCTAGTCGATAAAAACAAATCTTAGCTCCTATACTCCTAAAATATTATAAGTCAGAAAGAGGGAATGGTATAGTAGGGACCATTAAGGACACAATTTTCAATCCCCAAGCTGAATCAATGATTCCAATGAAAAATGCAAGAACTACATTTCTATTAGTCATCCTGTGATTATAACTAAACAAACAGTTTCTCTTTGCCTCCTTATTCTATTCTCCAAACAGCATTGGTGAGAAGATAAAATCAGCTCTGAAGAAAGCCGTGGGGGGTGTTGCCTTATCCCTCTCTACTGGCCTTTCGGTGGGTGTATTCTTCCTGCAGTTCCTTGAGTGGTGGTATTCATCGGAAAACCAAGAAACCATCAAGACCCTGACTGCTCTGCCTACCCCCCCACCACCTGTACACCTAGACTACAATTCTGATTCTCCCCTGTTACCCAAAATGAAGACTGTGTGCCCACTGTGTCGTAAAAACCGGGTGAACGACACGGTTCTCGCCACCTCTGGCTATGTGTTTTGTTACCGCTGTGTGTTTAATTACGTGAGGAGTCACCAGGCTTGTCCTATCACAGGTTATCCAACAGAGATACAGCATCTGATCAAACTGTACTCCCCTGAGAATTGAGAGGGATTAGCACCTTATCTCACAACAAAATGATTGCACTGTAAGGCCACAGGGCTTGATACTTCTCATTCCCAATTAGGAGAAGGCAATGGCAGCCCACTCCAGTACTCTTGCCTGGAAAATCCCATGGACGGAAGAGCCTGGTAGGCTGCAGTCCATGGGGTCGCTAAGAGTCAGACACGACTGAGCAACTTCACTTTCATGCAGTGGAGAAAGAACTGGCAACCCACTCCAGTGTTCTTGCCTGGAGAATCCTAGGGATGGGGGAGCCTGGTGGACTGCCGTCTATGGGGTCGCACAGAGTCAGACACGACTGAAGCGACTTAGCAGCAGCAGCATTCTCAATTAATAATTGTGTGAACTTCAGACAACCACATAGAATATAAAAGGATTTACTCGTTGATCTTAACCTTTTAGCTTGCTCCCTAGACACCCCTACTTAGAGTTGACCAAGCTAGTTAGAGAATCAGGACTGGCAAGGGATGTGAGGGCCAGCAGAGGGGAAGGGATAAAAGAGAATACTTGACACAGAAGATCTTCTCTCCCCTTCATTAAAGGACAAGAGGTATAGAAGCTCTCAGGGAAAACCCACGTTAGACCTCATATGGGTGGTGAATCGGAAAAAGGCTTTTTTGGAAAAGAAAGCAGTAACCAGCCTCTGTCATGCTTATGTGCTCAGTGGCTCAGTCATGTCCGAGTCTTTGAAATCCCATAGACTGTAGCCCAAAAGGCTCCTGTCCATGGGACTATCCTGGCAAAAATACTGGAATGGGTTGCCATTTCCTCCTCTAGCATAGGTTCCCAACCTAGGGATCGAACCTGCATCTCTTGTAGCTCCTGCATTGGCAGGCAGATTCTTTACCACTGAGCCACCTGGGAAACTTGCCTCTGAGGAATAGGCTTTATTGGCTTGCAAACAGTATGAAATATGGACTTGTTCTTTATAGACATACTTAGAAACACTTTAGGAAAACAACAGCTCCTTCCGTCTGCTTTGATCTACTTGTTAAATAACACCTGCTATAGTTTATCAACTTTTAAAGTTCCCTTTGTGAACCACACATGTCTTCCTTGGGAAACCAGTTAAAGGAAAATAGAGGTTGAATGTATATACAGAATAGTCTGAAGATTTCAATGTGAAAGCAAAGTTATTAATGAAGAGATGGAGTAAAATACTGACCTAACTGTGACTGTGTACATAAAGCACCTTTCAATAAGCTCTTTCTGCTTGTTGTTAAGAGTTTGCTAAACTGGCATGAATTATTCTGGTTATTACTAAAGTTTCTATGAAACGCTTAAATAAATTTTAAGAATAAATGTTTTTGGCAAAGAGCTGTTCCATGTCATGGTTATTTGGAAACTGAAAGATTAGATGAGGTATTTATTTATTTTTGGCCACACCTCAAGGCTTGTGGGATCTTAGTTCCCTGACCAGGGACTGAACCCAGGCCTTCGGCGGTGAAAGCCTAACCACTGGAGTCCTAAGCACTGGACCACCAGGGAATTTCCTAATTTAGATACTAAACCAAATTTTCATTTAGACCACTGTGGACTTTTTGAGGCATTTTATATTAACATTTTGCTTTTTTTGCTAATTGAATACTTGGAGAGAAATCCTCTACTCCAACAGCAAGAAATTAGTCTTGCGTGAAACACTTTATTCTACAGAAACACTTATGTTACCCACGTAGAAAAATGCAAGCCACTGGATTGGCAGCTTGGTGAAAATATACGTTGTTTTTTTAAAATCATTACTAGAAGAAGAATGAAAATGATTTTTAAGTGCCTCTGCTAAGACAGGTGTTTTCTAATATAACTCATTTTAGCAATTCAAAGCACATTTTCTGACACCACGAAGGTAACAGAAATATTGAAATAGAATATCCTATAGATTTAAAAATATTTAAATTTTTTAATTTGTTTCAAAGTTAAACCCAAGACATACTGACTTAATAGGAAATCCAACGAGCAACATTTTCCTAGGCTGAATACCTGTTTTCCCTTAGTCTGCCCCAAGACAGCATGTACATGTTAATTTATTTTACAATCTGCTAAACAAGCATTTTAACACAGTAATAAGTCAATAAGGGAACTGAACCAGATTCAGGGATGAAATAATGCAGTCTTCCATGAAGATATCAAAGCCATGTTTTTCACCTCAACCTACAAAGAAAACATGAAAGAATCAGTAATACAAAGGCATATTAAAGAAACATTCTAACACATAATAAAGCCAGTATTCAAGTAGGCTAGAACATATCAATGTAGAAAAACCACAATCAGAATCAGCTCAGAGAGAAGATTAAGGGGTCATACCCTGGTCAAAGCCAACACTGAAGCAGTGGCAATACCAGGTCAGACTATGCTTCACTCATCATCGCATCATTGCTTTTCACCTCCTTGTATTTCATAAGAGCAGCCCCAAACCCTATTTCACATCAGAGAAAACTCAGGTTTACCCATGAAAAAAAAAAAAAGGCTTCTTTTCAGATAAATTTGAGGCATGGGCTTTCAATATTGCATCTTGCACTATGCACCAGTATGTACAACTCTGCTGTACAAAATGTAAACATGAACAAGTTTCGTTTTGGGGTACAGGGTTTTTTTTTGGCTGTTTGCTTTTAAAATACAGAGTAGAGAAGCATTTACAGTTCAAAATAATTTCTGGTTTTAGTGAGCCCAAACACCATGCATGATAAAATCTTAGGGATTGTCTGTGAAGGGATTTATAGTCTAGCTCTAAAGGAAAACCTTCAGGAAAGATTTTCTACTAAAAAGCCTTTATAAACTCCAATTCATTTAACATATAATTTGATTTACAATTCTACTGCCAATAAAGATGAAAAGTGTTAGCCATAAAAATTTTATACAAGTCTTCTAAAGAGTCCAAAACCCAAGGAGGATATGATTTGACAAAGGTCCATAGCAAATTAACAACAGAGTTGGAAGAGAAACAGGTCTGGTCACCAGATTTATATTTTTCCACTACCAGCTAAATAAAGGTTTAATTTTATTTTTCTCCAGAGGATGGGCAAGATAAAGGAAACAGTGCAAAGCCTGAGTAATTCACAACCTGGATAATCAATTCCTGAATGAGAAAGTTGACTACATTTTATTTATTCTAAGTGACACCTCCTGATTTGCAAACAATGTCAACCTCTCCAGCTTTTCAGCAGAGTACTGTCAATATATAAGTAACAATTCTGGACACACAACACGCTTCAGTTGGCCACTTATAAAACTGACAATAGACTGATACTCCGTAGTTAAAACTGGACAGCTACATAAGGCCTCCATTCAGCATATACATATGTTCTCCATTCAGCAACTAAACTCCACAAAGAGAGGGAAACTATTAAAAACAAAGTGCCTTTTCAGAGGCTTGAGCCTTGATCCCACCAACCTCTGCAGAAGTACCTGTTACAAAAAAACAAAGGAGCTAACAGCACTTAATTTAAATAACTCTGTCTCAAAGCAGGAAACTTGTGAGCAGAGCTCCAAGTGTGCTCCAGTCACAGTCGGCACACTTTCCTAGTTCTCTTCCTCTTTAAACTTTTCCCTGTCTGGAGTGCCTTCCCTACCCCTTTCAATTTGGAGAAAGTCTAATTATAGTCCTAAAGACTTGTTCAAGTGTCACCTCTGTTAAGTGAAAGCCGCTCAGTCGTGCCGACTCTTTGCGACCTCATGGACTATACAGTCCATGGAATTCTCCAGGAGGGTGTAGTCCTTCCCTTCTTCAGTGGATGTTCCTGATCCAACAATCGAAACGGGGTCTCTTGCATTGAAGGCGGATTCTTTACCAGTTGAGCTATCAGGGAAGCCCCCTTCTCGGTTGAGTGGTCCCTAACTCCCTCGTTACCCCCTCCTCTCTCACAGCACTTTTTCCGACCATAGTAGGCGTCACACACCAAATATTCACCCATTTCCATCTTCCATTTCCTTGTCTCACCCACCAGTCCCAACACACAGACAAAGGTCCTAAAGAACCAGGACTAGGTCCCACTGGCCTTTGCAACCATTACACTCAGCAGGGTACCTGGGACAACAGAAGGCGGCTCAATAAACGAGTGTTTAGTCAACGAATAACCCTCCCTACTAAACCCTAAGCTCCTAGATTATAAAAGCATCAGCACAATTTATAAAGCTGACTTACCTCCAGCATTTCATGCTGGTTTAAGGACAGTCCTCAAGCATCTATAAGCCCTCCTTCCTCCAGCTTCTAACTCATGGCTTTCTGCATGGCGCCCTGCGCAGGACCACCAATGCTTATACGCAGTGGACTCTCAAAATGATGATGATAGTAAGAAAAATAACAATATTACTAATACGTCCAAACCTCACCAACATCAGGAAAGGCTGGGGGAAGCCATTCTTGTGGGGGAAACACAAGTAAGGCCGGAGCCAGGGCGCAGACCAAAGCTGCAGGCAGGGGCTCCGCAGTCCGCTTTGCGAACCTCCCAAAACGCTTACGTCCTACATTCTCACGAGGCCTGCCCGGGCCTGCTGAGGCTGACGGCAGCCCACCCTGCGCTGTCTGATGCGGGAAGAAGCCACTTGCTGCTTCCCAGACTCCTGCTCCTCGCGGCGGAGCCGGCGGCCGGGCGAGAGGAACAGCCAATCACGCGGTGGCCAGTGGATCACGTGGCGCCCAGCTTTGAGGCGGGGCTGGTGCGGAGAGCAGCCAATCGGAGCGCGAGGCGAACTTTGGAGCCGGAGCCGGCTAGAGGGCGCAGGCGCCTTTGCGGTCGCTCTGTGGCTTGGCGGGCTCTGAAGCCTGAGTTAAAAGTTAGACGCTGAGTAGTTTCCGCTGGTCCTTCAATTCCTTAATCTCTGACGTCGGAGAGGCTGTTATCTGGGGTGTCTTGTTTCACTAGGGAAAGGCCTCTGAGGCAGGGTTGTAGAGTGTGTGTGCCCTGGACTTTTGGGAATGTCAGCTAAAAAAGATGCACAACTTAACAGTTGTGAGTTAAGTTTTATTTGGGGCAAAATGAGGACTGCAGCCTGTGAGGCAGCATCTCGGATAGCTCTGAGAGACTGCTCCAACGCGGCAGTAGGGGAAAGGCAATATATAAGGTTTTGGTGAAGGGGGTTCAATACCATGAAGCACTCATTTTACAAAAGGCTTTTTGTTAGTCATGAGGATCTGATGTCACCATGAAGGGATTTTGTGCTTCTCTAGATATGAGGAGATGGAAGGCTTGAGATCATAGAATCTGTTCCTAAAAACATGCAACTATCCAAAGACCTGTCCCACCAGATTCCCTAGAGCACAGAGTGCCTCACTCCACCCTGAACTCCATCAGAGGTTGTTGAAGGTCAACAGCTATAGCAGCATGGGATTCAATCCCTGTAGAGGCAGCTGGCAAATGCTTTTGTTGTTCAGTCGTTGGCAGTGCTCTTGGTAGGTGCCAATTTGTAGTTGACAGGAAGAACTATCGATTCAGTGATCCAACAATACTGTGCTTGTGCCAGACTCCCACCTGAGCACTAGAGAGGTTGGGGTGAACTTTGATTAAGGTGCCCCTTCTTCCCCACCAAGGGGAAACTCATTGGTTGGTCAGAGGTTTGGGTGCTTCCTAAACAACAAAGAGGGGGCATTAGATATCAAAGAACTGCGAAGGAGCACAGGAAAAAAAGTCATGGAAGAGGTGGCCTTTGATCTGGGTCTTGAAAGATGTGTGAGAATTAGGATATTCTGGGAGCAGATAATTTAACTCTCGAATTAAATAAGAAAGCATAGGTGAGTGAGTGAGAGTCACTCAGTTGTGTCCAATTCGTTGCGACCCGATGGACTGGAGCCCATCAGGCTCCTCTGTCCATGGAATTCTCCAGGCATGAATATTGGAGTGGGTTGCCATTTCCTTCCAAATTTAGGTAAGGTTGAAATGGTGTAGTGTTTCTAAAAATTCAGTGAGTTAGAAACACCAGGAAGAAAGTTAACACAGACATCCTAAAACATCAAAAACAAAGGACAAAACTGCACAATTCAGTTTTCCGGAATAAATAAGGTTGAATCTGGAGGTGGAGCCCCCAAGCGTGTATATTTTTAATAAGTATGTTAAGGGAGTGGGCTTCCCAGGTGGCTCAGTGGGTAAAGAATCCGCATACAATGCAGGAGACGCAGGCAAACACAAGTTCGATCCCCAGGATCCCCAGGTTGGCAAGATCCTCTGGAGGAGGGCATGGCAGCCCACTCCAGTATTCTTGCCTGGGGAATCCCATGGATAGAGGAGCCTGGTGAGCTACAGTTCATGGGGTCACAAAGCGTTGGACACAACTGAAGCAACTGAGCACACACACATGCATGGCAGGGGAGATTCTGATTCACACCCAAGTTGAGGACCAGTGTTAGCCGCGATGAAAGGGGGTGGCACGAATTGAAAGACAAGGCAAGATGGTGGCTTGCTGCCTGTGTAGTTTACACTATTCTGGAGAAAGTGGGCAGTGTGAAGGTTTCAGAGTCTGAGGATATAAGTGATCAAATATGAAAACCCATTAGGCAACTCTATTTTTAAATAGAAGGAAGGAAGGCAGAGTGAAAGAAGGGGAAGCTATTTCAAGTGATTGCAAGTGTCTAGTGAGAGCTAGTAAGAAATGGAAAGGTGGCATGTGAAGGGCGGCAGGAGGATAGGGATGGGGAGAAAGACGTGAAGAAATAAAAGGAAAAAGTGTGGACAAAAATGGAATGACTTCTTTAGAGACCTATTAAGGATCCTCATTGTACTTTAGGGGCTTCTCTGATACCTCAGTTGGTAAAGAATCCACCTGCAATGCAGGAGACCCCAGTTAGATTCCTGACTCAGGAAGATCCCCTGGAGAAGGGACAGGCTACCCAGTCCAGTATTCTTGGACTTCCCTTGTGGCTCAGCTGGTAAAGAAATCTGCCTGCAATGTGGGAGACCTGGGTTCAATCCCTGGGTTGGGAAGATACCCTGGAGAAGGGAAAGGCTACCCACTCCAGTATTCTGGCCTAGAGAATTCCATGGACTGCATAGTCCATGGGGTCACAAGGAGTCGAACATGACTGAGCGACTTTCACTTTCATCACTCTCATCGTACTTTAAAAATAGGAGAGTTTAGACAGTAAAGAGAATGGGCCTTTGCGAGTGCTGTTTCCTTTTCCTGGTTTTCCCCTTCCCTCCCCATCACCCTTTCTCAACCTGGTGCACTCTTCCTTGCAGGATTAAGCTCCTATACCATCTCATTTAAGAAATCTTACCTTGTTCTTACAGGCTTAGTCGTTTTCACTCGTTAGAACACCCCAAGCACACCGTTCATGTAAGTCTAGCTTGCCAGAATGGCACTAGAGTGTAGTGGTCATTCATGTGGACTATACTGTTTGCAAGCATCATAAACTCTGTTCCTCAGTTTCTCTATCTGTAAAAGTGGGAATAATGACAGGACCTTCCTCATTGAGAACAATGCATAGTACATGAAGTTCTCACCTGGTGTTACCACATATGTTGTATTGCCATGAGTTCTTTAATACACGTTTTCCCCCTCTAGATTGTGAACAGGACACATGTCTTATTCTTGCTAACAGTAAATGCTGCACGACAGACTGATTAAGTCAGTTTTGAAATCAGTTGGACTCCAGGAGTTCAGATCTCAGCTCTGCTACCTACTAGGTGTGTAGCCTTTAACTTTACTTCTCTTAACTCAGTTTCTTCATTTATAACATGGTGAAAATAATGCATGTCTTACAAGTTATTATGAGGACAATTTGAAATCATCAAAGTTGCAGATCTGGCCCAAAGAAGGCAGTCACTAAATGGTGCAAATGACCAGTAGCCCCAGAGCACAGTACTATGTTTGGAACACAGTAAGTGCTTGATAATTGATTATTAAATGAAAAGCTGACATTCTATGCCAGGCACCATACTAAACTCTTTATATACATCATCTCACTTCATCAAGAATGATATGAAGAAGGCACTATTATTACCTCCAACTTAACACAGAAGGAACCTGAGGCTTGGATTATCTTAACCATAGCTTCAGAGCTAAAAAGTGCTAGAATTGCTATGTGCTTGGGGCTCAAAAAAAAAAAAAAAAGTGGTCGATTGAATGAGAGAATGAATGAAAGACTTACTCAGAGTCAGATGGTGATGTGGTAAAAACAGCACGGTTGCTGTCGGTCACTATGTTATCAAGTCTGCTGTGTAGTCATAGCAGTAGTCGAGTCATACTGACAAATGAATTTAGAGTGAGACGAAGGCTGGTATTCAGCTTTTGTGTCTTTTGAGCTTGAAGGCTGTGCTGTAATTATCTCTGAGGATAAACTGAAATGCATAGTGAATAAACACATCTTAAATAAATTGGGGGCTCTAGTTCTTAGCTAACTGTCAACAGCATGGCCAGATTACTGTCCCAAGACCTAGAGAAAATCACTGTCCAAGCTACTGATTTCAAGTTGCTTCATATCACGGACATTTGCTTCTAGGTATCAGAGCCAAAATGAGAACTCCTCCCTGTTCTGATAACCTACTATTCATAGCCAGCGGACTTGACTAAGGAACTTTGAAGAAGAGAAACTCTCCTTACTCATCTTTCACATTATCCTTTCTTCTCCTGATTTGGTTCCCAATAGTTCATTAAAGAATAAGAAGAACTTCCCTGCTCATCTAGTGGTTAAGAATCTGCCTTCCAAAGCATGGGACATGGGTTTGATCTCTGGTCCAGGAAGATTCCACATGCCATGGGGCAACTAAGCCACTGCCTCACAAATACTGAGTCTGAGCTCTAGAGCCTGAGTTCTTCGCAAGGCGAGAAGCCTCACGCCACAGCTAGAGAAAGCCTGCCTGCAACAACGAAGACCCAGCACAACAACAACAACAAAAAGAATAAGAAGGAGAAAACAATCCAATTTCTAGTTCTCCTGCCCCATAAAATGTCTTTCCTGTTGACTGGGAAGAAAAAAAGGAAGTACTTAAGTAAATTTCTGGTTTTGAAGACTCCAAAGCAATCCAGAATCCTAAATTTGAGAGGCAGTGGAAGGAGTAGGAGCATTTGTATTAAGCAGACCTGACCGCATGCCGGCTCTTCCACTTGAAAAGTGAAAGTGAAGTCGCTCAGTCATGTCCGACTTTTTGAGACTCCTTGGACTGTAGCCCGCCAGTTTCCTCCAGCCTTGGGCTTTTCCAGGCGAGAGTACTAGAGTGGGTTGCCATTTCCTTCCTTCTCCAGGGGATCTTCCCGACCCAGGGATGGAACTTGGGTCTCCCCCATTAGAGGCAGACTCTTTACCATCTGAGCCACCAGGGGATCCTGGCCAAGTAATCTCGGTTTCCACGTGGTGTGCCACACTCCCAGCTTGGTTCCTTGTGCCCAAAGGCACATGTCCAGTAAATGACAGTCTTTTCTATCTTTCTAAAAGTAAGTAGTATGAGAAGAATTTCAGTGAAGCTGAGAATTAAGGTAGATGGTAGAATTAAAGTGAGACTTCGGGGATTTCCCTGGAAGTCCAGTGGTTAACACTCTGCACTTCCAATGAAGGGGACACGGGTTTGATTCCTGGTCAGGGAACTAAGATCCCACGTGCTGCACAGTGAGGCCTAAAGAAAAAAAAAATGAGACTGAGGACGTCCCTGGTGGTCCAGTGGTTCCCTGGTTAGGGAATTAGGATCAGCACTCAGTGTGGACAAGAAATTAAAAAATAAAATAAATGAGACCACTAGAGAAAGCCTGCCTGCAACAACGAAGACCCAGCACAACAACAACAACAAAAAGAATAAGAAGGAGAAAACAATCCAATTTCTAGTTCTCCTGCCCCATAAAATGTCTTTCCTGTTGACTGGGAAGAAAAAAAGGAAGTACTTAAGTAAATTTCTGGTTTTGAAGACTCCAAAGCAATCCAGAATCCTAAATTTGAGAGGCAGTGGAAGGAGTAGGAGCATTTGTATTAAGCAGACCTGACCGCATGCCGGCTCTTCCACTTGAAAAGTGAAAGTGAAGTCGCTCAGTCGTGTCCGACTCTTTGAGACTCCTTGGACTGTAGCCCGCCAGTTTCCTCCAGCCTTGGGCTTTTCCAGGCGAGAGTACTAGAGTGGGTTGCCATTTCCTTCCTTCTCCAGGGGATCTTCCCGACCCAGGGATGGAACTTGGGTTTCCCCCATTACAGGCAGACTCTTTACCATCTGAGCCACCAGGGGATCCTGGCCAAGTAATCTCGGTTTCCATGTGGTGTGCCACACTCCCAGCTTGGTTCCTTGTGCCCAAAGGCACATGTCCAGTAAATGACAGTCTTTTCTATCTTTCTAAAAGTAAGTAGTATGAGAAGAATTTCAGTGAAGCTGAGAATTAAGGTAGATGGTAGAATTAAAGTGAGACTTCGGGGATTTCCCTGGAAGTCCAGTGGTTAACACTCTGCACTTCCAATGAAGGGGACACGGGTTTGATTCCTGGTCAGGGAACTAAGATCCCACGTGCTGCACAGTGAGGCCTAAAGAAAAAAAAAATGAGACTGAGGACGTCCCTGGTGGTCCAGTGGTTCCCTGGTTAGGGAATTAGGATCAGCACTCAGTGTGGACAAGAAATTAAAAAATAAAATAAATGAGACCGGATTTGAAAACAAAATGAGTGAAAAGGGTTAAAGTTGAAGTTGAGAGCCGACTTTTGCACTTTATTAGTTTTTCGGTGATGGACAGGGAGGCCTGGTGTGCTGCAGTTTATGGGGTCGCAAAGAGTCGGACAAGACTGAGCAAATGAACTGAACTGAACTGATTATTCATCATAGCATCCATTCTGGCTCCTGTCCTGAAAACTCTTTTCAGTACAACAGGTACAAAGGGTCTACCAGCAAAGCAGAACTTCATAGGAACAGTAACCTTAGTTAATGAAAAGAAATACGAGGGGTATTCAGAAACCTATTTAATAATGTCATTTCATCATAAACAAGTTGAAGTAGATGGTAGATGTTTGATGGTTTGACTTAGGGGGAAAGAACTGTGTTAGTTTTCTGTGTCTGCTGAAACAAATTACCCCCATTTTGGTTGCTTAAAACAACAAAAGTTTATTCTCTCACTGCCAGGAGTTTGACAAAAGTGGGCAGAAATCAGGGGATCAGGAGGGGCTGTGCTCGCCTCCCTCAGAAGCTCTAGGGGGCAGTCTATTTGGCTGTTTCGCATGCCTGCTGACTCCCCTCACATGTGGTCTCTGCCTCTGCAGTCTTTTGCCTTCTCTTTTGCACATATCAAATCTCTTTCTGCTGCTGCTCTTATGAGAACACTTCTGATTTGGATTTAGGGCCCATATGGATAATCTCCTCATCTCAACATCAGTACTTAATCACATCTGTAAAGATCCTTTTTCCTTGTAAGTGAAAGTGAAAGTTGCTCAGTTGTGTCTGACTCTTTGCCACCCCGAGGACTACATAGTCCATGGAATTCTTTAGGCCAGAATACTGGAATGGATAGCCTTTTCCTTCTCCAGGGGATCTTCCCAATCCAGGATTAAACCCAGGTCTCCCACATTGTGGGCAGATTCTTTACCCACTGAGCTGTCAGGGAAGCCCTTGTAAGTTAACATTTATAGGTCCATCCCATCATCACCATCAATTATTGGTGGCCATCAGTCAGCCCTCTATAAGAAACTTGATTCAGTTTAACCAGCATCCCCAAATGAGATAACAGTCTCTTATCTTTTTTTTCATTTAATTGTTTTGTAAATTATGCAAATGATTGACATTTATTGTAGACCATTTAGAAAATACAGAAAAGTTAAAAAAAAAAAAGGAAAGGAAAAGAAATTTGATGAGAGGTCATCTGTAATTTTCTCATCCAGTATAGCCAAACCTTCATCAATGAGCATTTTTCTAGAAAGGGTCTTGTGTTTAACAAAGAGAAAGAATAGGAAAAATAGAATAAAAGTAAGAAGAACAGAACAAGCAATTTGGAAGATGATAAAATAGGTTAATATTGTTCGTAATGGATATGTACAGGGCAGCTTAATTTAAAACAAATATAGAGCTTTGAAATGAAATTAACTATGACAGAAGCTGCTTGTAGGATGCATGAAAAAAGACGTTCAGCCTTTCAGAGGTGGGAAGCTTTAGCTTTGGCCCTGCACTTGGACACCCCTGAATTTTCCCATTACTCCTTCATTTACTCCCAGAGGTCAGACTGTGGCCCGCCAATCTGCCCTGTCATGAACTTTTCTTGACTGCTTATCAGCCTTGCTCAGTGGGTCAGTGTTACGAAGTCTTGGGGAGTCTGGCAGAGTTCCTGCTGCTCCCAGGCTGATATCAGAAGGCAACAGGGGCTGTGAGAGAAGGCAAACATTCAGACCAAACCCAGATGTGGAACTGAAACAACAAGAGGAAAAGCAAGGGCATCAGGTAAAAAAAAAAATTTTTTTTAAACCCAACCAACCCAACCCAACCTAAGGCCGAAGGCATAAAGAACTTAATAAAATTATAGCTCAGGAGAATCTTGTAAAGGAAAATGAGTGAGAAATCTGGGGACATGTGGAGCAGATAGATGTTCATCTGGAGCTAGACTCTCAGACTACTTTGTATCTATCAGGGTTGTTATCAGCACTCAAGTAACATCAGTGAGAGTATAGTTCTTCTAGTTTAAAAGCAATTAGATTTGTTTTAGTCCCAGCATGTGGAAGTTATAGGAAGACAGATTATAGCTAAAAATAAGCAAGCTATATATAACAGAGCTGTCAGAAAATAGAAGGGGACTAATTTGAGAGACAATGAGTTGTGTTATTGGAGGTGTTCAATTACTGGAAAGCAATTTGTTGGGAGTTGTGAATATTATAGAGTATTTAAGAACCAGATTGATGGGTAAAATCATCTTTAAAGTCCCTTCCAACACTTCTGTGATTCTATGATATGAATAGAATCTTACTGGAAATTTCTCTAAGAGCCAGACATTTACATTTGTGTATAGGAGATGCTCACCTATGAAAAGAACAATTGATCGGGTTGATTCTGGTTTGCTTGGAGGAAGTGAGAAAGCAACCAAGAGTAAACTAATGGCAGAGGAGGGGACCAAGCCTGCTGGATGCCTGCTTTCTTTCCCTCTTGGTGGATATAAACACCACCCACGTGGCCTCTTAGCAGAGATCACACAGGGGGGAAAAAACTGGGCTCTCTTCTTCTAGAGGAAGAATTTTGGTTTGGGTTAGTAAATATTTGATTTTGCAATTAACAAAAACAAAGGAGGGGACACTTCTGTAACATCTGCTTCTGGGGTGCTAGCTTCAACTTAGGTGGCTGTTTTCTGGTCTGGGAAGCAAAAGGAGGTTGGCCACAATTTGGTAACTATGTCTCAAAGGCTTATGTCCATGCCCAGGTCTCAGAGGTTCCCACAGGCAGAACTATTAGGAAGCACGGAAAACTGTTCCTACATCACACTGTATAAGAAATGTACTTTTAGAAGAATGTCTGAAGAGCTTGAAAGATTTCTGCATTTGGTGTCAGTCGGCATTCTTTCAGGAGTAGAATAAAGCTTTTTTAAATGTATAAAATAGCACATAGAGAATACCAAGTTTTATGTTTGTTTTTATGACTAGATCTTGTACATCACATATACTTCAAAGCTATACTCTCTTGGTTCTCTATTGTCTTCTTTCCCCTTTGGATTGTAAATAAGAGCATTTTCTGATGGCAACCACTTCTATAAAATTTGTTTGGTTCCTGTAACAATCCATGCCCTTTATATCTGGGCTCACAATTGATGCTTCCTTATTTTAAATGAAAAATAGCTAAAATTTTCAGCAATACAATTTTTTCCTTTATGGTTGAATATTAAGCATTTAGTTTATGCTCATTCATGCTGGGAAGCCTAAGGTCTTGACAAAGTTGGGAGAAAACAGTGAAATCTGACCTAGAAGGGTGGGATAGGGGGTTGGGAAGGAGGCTCAAGAGTGAGGGAATATATGTATACATGTAGCTGATTCACATGGTTGTATAGCAGAAAGTAAACATTGTAAAGCAATTATACTCCAATTAAAAAAAGTAGTGATATCAAAGATGATTTCCAATACTAAAATCTATCTCCAATAATTTACAGCTTCGAAGAAAATTTTATAATCTCCGGAATTCATGTTAATATTGAAACAACACTTCTGTCCTAATTATTTATTGGAACCTCTTTCTGTCATTGCTTGTGGCGCAGAAGGGCTGCTGAGATGGAAAGCCTTAAGATGGAGACGGAAATGCTTTATCCTGAGATAACCGTAGAAGTGGGCAGAGTCACTTTCGGAGAGGAAAACAGGAAGAGGATGACCAATAGCTATTTGAAAAGAACTGAGAATTCTAGAATCATCCAAGCGACGTGTGCACTGTTAAATTCCGGAGGGGGTGTGATCAAAGCGGAGATTGAGGATAAGACTTACAGTTACCGATGCCACGGCCTGGGACATGATCTGGAAACTTCTTTTCAGAAGCTCCTCCCTTCAGGCTCACAGAAATACCTTGACTACGTGCAGCAGGGACACAATCTTATGATTTTTGTGAAGTCATGGAACCCAGATGTTTTCAGCCTAAGGATCTGCAGCTTGCGCTCCAATTTATATCAGAGAGCTGTGACTTCCACCATCAACTTGAGTGCCCACAGCGCCCTGGAGCTCCTCCGAGAAAAACAGTCTAGAACCCAGAGAGGAAGATCAAAGATGCAGGAGCTACATTCTCAGAAAGCTCTGGATAGATACATGCAGGAAGAGGAAGACATGAGGATAAGCGCCTCAGAATTTGTTAAAAAGGATAAGCTCGTGTATAAGGAGAAACTCAACTTCACTGAGTCCACACACGTCGAGTTTAAAAGGTTCACCACCAAAAAGATCATTCCTCGGACTAAAGAAATGCTGCCTCATTATGTCTCTGCATTTGCCAACACCCACGGGGGATACCTAATTATCGGGGTGGATGATAAGAGCAAAGAAGTGTTCGGCTGTCAGGGAGAAAAAGTGAACCCTGACTTACTAAAAAAAGAAATAGAAAACTGCATAGAAAAATTGCCTACATTCCACTTCTGCTGTGAGAAGCCAAAGGTGAACTTCACTACCAAAATCTTAAATGTATACCAAAAAGATGTCCTGTACGGTCATGTCTGTGTGGTCCACGTGGAGCCCTTCTGCTGTGTAGTATTCACAGAAGCCCCCGATTCCTGGATCATCAGGGACAATTCTGTCACGAGGCTGTCTGCTGAGCAGTGGGTAACCATGATGCTAGATATTCAACCAGGTAAAGCAGAGAGAAGCCATTGTTCATTCAGGAGGCAGAAATTTCTGTCTTCATTTGGTTATTTGGCCAGTTAAAGAATGGGGCTTCCCTGGTGCATCAGCCATAAAGAATCCGCCTGCCAATGCAGGAGACGCAGGTTCGATCCCTGGGTTGGGAAGACCCCCTGGAGAAGGAAATGGCAACCCACTCCGGTATTTTTGCCTGGGAATCCCATGGACAGAGGAGCCTGGCGGGCTACCATCCATGCCATGGGGTGGCAGAAGAGTTGGAAATAACTTAGCGACTAAACGACGAGAAAAAAAAGAACATAAATCTGCTTTTGCTTACAAATCTTCTCCTATTAAAGGGTGATTTTCTATATTTTTAGTTCCAAAGATTCAGAATATGAACTGCGTGAAGTCAAGAAAAGCCTGTAGGCCATCAGCCATGAATTTGTGAAAGTTCCTTTTTTATTTTTCCTTTAAGCTTTTTAAAATAACATTCATTTCTTAAAAGTTAACATGTGCATAATAGGAAACCAAAAAATACAAGAAGCAAAAACCAAAATCATTCATAATCACAAGCAGTTTACCAATTGATGTGTCCTTCTAGGTCTCATTTTTATACACTGTAAAGGTCTGCAGAAACAAATTTGCAGGCTGATATTCCTACTCTAAAACATTCATCTACAGTCTCTCTAAAGGTGATTTTTAGAGAAACACTGTTTAAGAATGGCTCTCCACTAATTCTTTCAAGGGAAACTTGTTGACAAATTTGAATTGCTTCAGTAACATTAGGAGCCCATACTCAGAGCCACTCTCAGGGCTGGGGGCACCACCAAGTGGAGAAAAACTAAAAACTTATGCAAAAGGAGGTTGGTCCTGGGGAGGGGTTGGGGGTGTGGGAGGAGGATTCACTTCCTTTCAATTTTGCTAAACATCAGCCCTGGTGATTTCAGTTCAGCCCATAAAAGACTTACAGGCTGAATGAAGTTTATTGGTTTGCCTCCAGGGTCAGTAAGTTCCAGATTTGGTGAAAAGAAGCTTGGATCAAGACTTGAGTGATTTCATTGGATTATGCTTTCTCTTGTCTGAAATTAGAGTTTACATCACACACACATACCAAACTAGAGATTCTACCACTTCTTATTCTTCATCTAAACGTGGTGGGGGTTGGGAGAGACCTTTAACAACTATCACAATATAAAAAAAATTATGGTGCTTACTTTAAAAAAATTTTTTAGGCATGCTGGACCTTAGTTCCCTTATTGGACCTTAGTTCCCCAGCCAGGGATCAAACCCATATCCCCAGCATTGGAGGCGCAGAGTCCTAACCAGTGGACTACCAAGGAGATCCTATGCTTACTTTTTCTGCCATTCCACCATCACCACTACTAGAAGACTTTTCTCTTTAGGGGTGACCTGGAACCAGAATGTTAGAATTGGAAGGAACCGCAGGGACCACCTGTTCACCCTTTCAGGAGAGAGGAGAAATGACTTGCCTGAGATGAATCACAGGTGCCTTAGAAGATGCATGGCCCTGCAGGAGTCCCAGGCCTCCTTCCTAACATGCATGAACTGTTGGCAGCGTAGAAAGAGGGCAGCCCAGGCATGACACATGTCATACGTCAACCGTAGGAAGAGCAATAGAGAAGTTCTTTATCATCTAAAATGATGCTTTGTGGGTGTTTTTTTTTTTTTTTGGTATAACATTACTCATCTATAATAACATTTATTTTCTACAGAGAAGGAAAAGCAAGCAGTAAAATGTTTTTAATAAAAAAAA